GCAGCTATGCAGCATGCAGACGCCTAAACCTAAACCAGATGTAAACTAAAGCCAGACTTTCAGTCAATCTGTGAGTCATATTTTACTGTCCTTAAAACTCCAAACAAGGAGCTGTCTATGGAAGCCCTTGAAGACTCAGCAGTTCTTAGTCTAAATCTTTACAATTCCAAAAAAAACAAATAAAAGAAAATTAAGAGCACTTTCTGTACTTGTGGCTGAGTTCATCAGAGTTGGTCTTTTGATGAGGCTAGTATTGTTTCCTTTAGGTAAAATCTAAGCTTTCTTTTAAAGTCACAGGTTGCAGTTGTAAGGAATCCAGAAAGCGCTGAGGAAGTTATGAATAACTGGTTATGCTGTTACGTACTTTTCAGGCAAGTAGGACACAGGGACATCTACTGTGAGAGTCTGAGTACTCAGAACCTCTGAAAACGAAGGACATAATTTCAAAACTTCCTTAAAGACTTAAAAACAAATAGTCTATCAAATCTCAGTGCAACTTGTGCTCTCAAGTACCTTGAACAGTCTTGAAAATCCACCTTCATTCTATAGGACTTCTGTGGATAAGTATGTGGTTTCAGAAGTGGTTAACCAGAACAGCCTAATGGACCTGTTAATTACTCATCCAAGATAAATCACAGTTGTGCTTGCTTTCTTATTGTTTTTTTTGGTGGGTTGGTTTTAGTTGTTGTTTTGGGGTGGATTTTTTGGGGGGTTTGGGTTTGGTTTTTTTATGTTTTGAGGGTGTTGAAAGAAAAATCATGCTGCCCATTATCATCCTGACCAAAGACAATACAGTAAGCCCGAGGAGCAGCTGATCATCTGCTCACATATTTTGTTCAAAAAGACATATTTTAGGAATAGAAGAGGTTTGTGTTTCCAAGGGCTAAAATTTAGTATCCGACGGAACTAGATGGAAAACATGCATTAAAAAGATATTCTGAATTTTGAAAACATTTTTTTTCCTTCTTTTTAAAAAAGTAAAGAAACTATTTTTGATAATGAGACTGGGTGCATTTTAGCTCACTTACCAGAATCACGTAGTGTATGTGTTAGTACAATGCACAAAATATTTTCCTGTCCTTTTCTGTATAGATGTCTCTTAATCAATATTGGCTGCTGTGAAACTTTATATAAATTTAGTATATTGATCTAAAAAAAAAAAATAAAAATAGGATGAGCAAGCTAATGCAATAGCTTGAAAAATGGCAATTAATTGTACTTTAACATAGAAATAGAGAATGATATGAGATTCTTGATATACTGGCTACAGCTGGAATTGAATTTTTTTTTTTAGGGAGGAGAGGAAATGGACTATTGGTCTTCTCCATTGTTGATCTATTGCTTATATGTTAAAATTGTTTTAGTGGATTGGAGAAGAGGTGTCTCTGCCCATGCCAACTTCTGCTTAGGATTTGAGAACTTTGGACATAAAAGATCGGTGCATGAGGACTGGGTATTTGGGACTACAGGGGACTGAAACCTTCACCTTGCTGCAAAGCAATACAAACACGTTTTTATCTTTCTTTATTCCTCATTGGGCAATTCCATGCTGAGAGTTGATCTACCTTATGCTTGGCTTTTGTGACTGCCTACCTGACTCTCATTTGTGGTACCTTGAATATTTTTCACCTCTTTATAAGAAAAAAATTAAATCTGCTTAAAGTAAACTGAGCTTAGGAAGACACTAGCTTTGTCTAAGTTTTTCAGTTTTATCATCTCCGAAGATGAGAGAGTAACTGAAACTGTGAGAATTGGGATGATAGCAGAACAAGTTTTGAGTGTGTTATCAAAAAGAGACAAGCTTTTGTTTTAGACAAAACTTTTACAAACTCATCACAGCAGATCCCCTTTGCCAGCCTATTCCTTTGATATCTGGGATGTTTAGTTGGGCTGTTTCATGGAGAGAAATGTGTTTGAATATGAAGCTGAGGAAAAAAAACCCTAAATATAGAAGACTGTTGGTATTGTTACATACTTTTTTTTTTTTTTTTTGCATGTTTCACCTCCACATTGCTTAGAAGGTATTAAATACTCTTCTGACACAAACATTTATCCAGTACCTTATTCCTTCACTTGGGCAGAAATACCAGTAACTGTCTAGTGTGTTGTGTTCCTTTCATATGATCAGCACTTTAATTTCTTACGTTATAGCGAAGAATAACAGTATCTCATCCAAATAGTGGGGTTTTATACTCTGGTGACAAATTACACAACATGATGAATGAGTGCTATATCCAACAGGTTGTGCAGGGAGACCACGATTCCAGTCTTAGTGCTCTGGAAAACTGGGAAACTTAGGAAGGCTTTGCAGGCCTATTAATTCTTAATGAAGAAAGCATCCAATGAACTAGTTTGTTTTAAGCATCATAATACTGATATTACTATGGTAATAATGACGGAATTTGTCCTATTTTTAAAGTTTGGATGCTACACATATCTTATTTTCTATAAAGCAAGAAAAGGGGATCTTTTCCTGTTTTCTTTTGGGTTTTAAATGACTTTGGAATTCAGGAATAGGGTCAAAAATGGACCTGAACTGTTATTCTTCTGAACATCACTGATTTTAGTCTTTTAACAGGAGGAGGAGGGGTGGAGAATGAACAAAAAGCCTCCACCAAAAACTTGGAGAAACAAAGTTGTCATTAACTGCACTCCCTTTCCCCCACTCCCCTTACACACACAAACAAATCAGCCATGGAAGAGCTTCCAATGTCTGAATGGTTAAAGAACAGACATTTCATTCTGACAATATTACATGTTTTTCTTTTCCATAGCAAGTTGAATATAAAGGATAGGTATATCCCTGTATTTCCTTATAGACTTTGGAAAGGGACTGCTTCAGGCTATTGGCACAGGTATAGGCTAAGATTTTGGGGGGTATATATCTTCATAAGATCTATACTTCTCTCAAATCAGCTCAAAGATCAGGAGTTTATCGTAAGCTGCAGACATTAATTCAAGAGAATATAATGTTGTACTCCTGTGGAGAATATGTAATCCATGTTCTGGAAAAAGGTATGGAATTTTGGTGATATTAAATGTTATGGTAGGTCCCATGGCATCTTTCAGTTCTGCCACTTATTTCTGAATAGGAGAAAAGAATAACAGAAATTCTGTATGTCACCATCAGAATGTCTTCCATTGCAGAACAGTAGATAGCTTCTCTAATTTTTTGTCTATTGTACACTTTAAGAAAATTGATGATTGTTTGGAGCCCCTCTCCTATTTCAGATATGTTGACTAACATTTTTTTTTAAAATTACAGGCTTGTCCATGGTCTATGTTTGTGGGGGGAGGTGTTTTGGTTTGGTTTTTTTCATATTGCTTCATAAGCAGGGTTACCTGTTTAATTAAATATATTTATGTCAATTTTTTCCCTAAAAATCTGCTGGCATTTATTTCTAAGCTTAAAAAAAAATAAAAATAATTTTAAAAATTGTTATTGTCACCCAGCTTAACTCCACTTGTGTGGAGTTACCTGAGATCTAAAGCTGCATTCTCTAAAGATTTGCCCCAGATATAGCAGACCAGATGAGTAGTGCAGTAAAGGTGAATCAATTTATACAGCTAATAGAATACAAAGAGTGATGTGACTACTACCACATATATTTACCTTCTTGGTGCTCTAGCTTGAATGGCTAGGTACAGATCTATACTGGGTTGGCTGACCAGCATTTGCCAAAATTATTGAAACTTTGGATCTTTAATTATGTTACCTTTAACTGCTCTACCATGCTCTTTTGAATATGTCATTAGTTCCTTGCTGTAAACTAGAGACTGGTGTTATTTACCAGATTATAAATTCATGCTTACTGAAGTAAGAACTAGATGACAACTGATTCCTCTCCCCCCCACACCAGACCTTTTCAAATATTAACGAACCACAGTTTTAGAGCATATAACGGTGGTACATGTAAGGCTACTACCTGTTGTTTCTAGTCTTCAAAAGCAGATACAATTCCCATCTGTAGATATTTGGATTGATGCAATTCTAGGTATCATTTATATTTAAAGGAGATAATTATGATAGTACATTCTGCTGCTTCAAAATATTTTTTTTTTTAAATGTATTTAAAGACATAGTAATGATCCTGTTTTGATGAAACAAACCCTGGAGAATGAAGAAGGAAAATGAATTTTTTTTAAATACGTGCACTTTTACTAGAAATTTTGAGGCAGAATCAAGCAGGATTCATTTCTCTTGAATGATGGGAATTTATCACAGCCTAAAGAGATTTCGAAATAGAAATCGGAGCTTAACATTCTCCTGAAGCAATAGTGTCAAGTCCTCTGTTGCCCCAAACTACATTAGCTTGGATAGTTGGTGGAAGCACAATGGTACCACCTTACCAATGAATAGTCTGTGTCAGGGTGCTTCAGGCTCCAGCTTCTCTGTCCTGGTCTCTAGTGCAATAAGAACCAAGCTGTCCTTCTCCAAGGTCTCTTGTAGAGTTAAAGCCATGATAACTATACTCTTATAATCTTTCACTTTAATAATTTTGCACTATTACTTTTGAACAATGCAAGGCACTTCACTATATCTGTGATTTTATCAGGTATCAAGCCCTCATCTAGCTTTGTTTGCTAAATTAGGGTCCTTCCTAGTATTTGGTGCAGGTTTTACATCTGAACTTTGTGTTGCTTCACACACTGTCACCTGGGGCCAGCTATATCAGCACAGCCTGGGATCCGAATTTGCAATTTTGTTCCCATACAATTCACCCCCTTAAATTTGTCTGTCTTCTTCAAAACAATTGAATACTTCTGTTAATTTTTGCTACCGCTCATTTAAACTAACACACTGGCCACAATTTATCTGTCTATTTATATAAATATAACTGTTCCTGAATATTATCATAGTGTTCATATTTGAAGTAATGTGTTTGAGGGACATATTCAAGCAGTTTTACCGGCTATGCATTAATTTAAGTGTTTTATTACAGTATGCAGATCCATATTATGAAATATCATTCTAAAATAATCTGTTACTTCAATTTCAGTGTGTGAGACAGAAGCAGCAAAAGTTTATCAGCTATCACTAGAAGAGCACCTCCAGCCTTTCAAAGACAGCATGGAGCAATTCATTAGTCAAGGTAAATAATGAAACATCAGTTAACCTTTTCATGACATTTCAAAGGAAAGTTATGTTTATACATTGTGGGAAAGGAACTGTTTATTTTGGCATCATAGAGAGATGTGGATTAGGTTAATCAGATGCCACACAGTTCTAAAACATTTGCAAAATGATTCTGTTGTACTGTAGGTGACTCATTCTCTTTTGCATGACAGCAAAGACAAATGCTATTGGCTTGAGTGTGTGATCTTCTGATAAGTTCAACATTCCAGTAGAAAACAATTTTACAACCTTCGTTCCTTGAAAAATTATTGAAGCTGGATCTGTTTCATTAGCTTCTTTCCAAAGAGATAATTCTTTTGTATGCGCCAAAAACAAGGAGTAAGCACAGCAAAAGTAGTTAAAAGTTTTCCAGATATTAGGCAAATCCATATGAAATACTTGGATGTGATTAGTGGAAAACACTGCAAGAGAAAATATATTAGAAAGATTCATGATGAACTGGCATCCTGAGTGCTAGAAAGAAAACACTTTAAAAATGAATAGAATATGCTTTCAATGCTTTACTAGACCCTTATTTTGCAAGACTACAAGAGGTATGGATAACTTCAGTTTTTGACTAGCAGTGTATCAGAGCATGTCTTGAAATACTGCTCTGAAAGACTATACTCTGTATTAGACCAGTTCACTTTTTGATACAAATTAGAATTCAATGCATAAGGGTGACAGTGGACTGATGAGTACACCAGTGTAATTTAAACTTTCTTGACTACATTGCTGCTCCTTCTGCTTTGATATTATATTTTATAATAGAAGACAGACTTGTTATCTCTTGAACAGGTAAGTTATGTGAAAAGTCACTTTCTAGCACTGATTCAATGGAGCTTCAGTAATTTGTTAGTTTAGAGCTGTGTTAATGAGCTATTACATATAGAAATCATTATTAACTGAATGTGCATTATGTTAGAGAGGTCAGTCAGATATACATTTATGTCGTCTTGGTGAGAATATCCAAGATGGCCATATATCTAAACATTGTAAGTGGAGTACATATGTTGAAGTATATACTGATCCATGCTATAGGCTCTTATTTACAGTTGAGCAAAGTCACCATTTTGAACCATCAAATGTGAACTGATGTTTTCGAAGACAGATGTCTATAAGCCAACCTTGGCAAACAGGATGTTTTCTCCAGCAATAGCAGGCATGAACTGCTTTAAAACTAGATTGTGATTATGTACATGGCATACAAATGTTACATTAGCAGCATGATTAAACATGTAGCAAGTGTTTTACATTAGGTTTATATTATTATTTATAGAGAGAGATAGGGGACAATCAACTCACAAGTTGGTCTGAAAAAGATTGCTAATGGTATACTGTAAACCATGCCACACATTTCCATATTAACCTTAATAATAGAGTAGGAAATAAAACATGAGGATTATATTTCATCAGATGTATATCTGTTAAATTTCTTTCACTTCTTCTAGAAACTATACTTTTAGAAGTATCTGGCTCTAGCTTTCTTTATGATTTCTGACTATGACTTCCAGAGGATAATTATATATAAGTTATATAGTAATCTGTTCTGGTTTTGTAAGGATATGCAATTCCCTTTCTTGATTATGTGTCAGTATTTTAGAAAAGTGAGGAAAAATAGGGGAAAAAAAAAAAAGAAAAAGAAATGCATCTCATCCATTAAGAACTTTGCTGTGTTCCCATGTTAACAGTGGATATTGCGAGGTGGTTGACAAAAGGAGAAACCCATAATGTCAGTAAAAATATCATTGTTGCATTTTAATGAAAATAATTGGAAATATGTATTTTGAACACAGTGGACTGTGACTAAACAGTTTCTATATTTATTTAAAACTATAAGGCACATTTTGCAGAGTTCTGTCCCAATGTAAAAAAGACAAAGGTTAACATACAGGAAAAAGAATCCCTGGGTAAGTTCCAAAAATAAAGTAATTTTAAATACCTTTCATTATGAAATCCTTTGTTTTTACTTCATGGGATTGAATTCAGACTTGAAAGAGGCCATGTTTAAAGCAGGATTTCTCTTTCCTGTTCAGTGTTTGACAGGCTTTTGATCTAGATATTTTTTCTAAGGGCTTTTGTTGTTTATGTAGACATAATCGATGAGTCTTTTCAGCTAGACTGCACACATGATCATTTAGAAAAACAGAGGGACAATTCTTGGCACCTTTTGGGGATTTGTGTTTATATAACATATGCTCTGGGCAAAGAAAAATCAAGCTTTAAGTTTTTATCTTTTCAAGTTCCAGTTTCTCTAAAGTCAGAAAAAGTTTTAACTTATAATTCAGATGAAAAGCATTTTTCATAGGGTTGAATAATTTGGCATGTTTATGTGATGCCTTTTCAGAGTAGATAACTTGTGTGCATAATGGGACACAAAAGTTCAAAGTAGCTAGTTATTTACAGCATATTCACTTGTTGCTAGCAGCTAAAATGGAAAATGGTTTTGCCATAGGCAAGAAAACTTGGACATCAGATTAAATATCCTTGGCAAGGGGTTAGAAAGGCACTGCTTTATAAGAATAGTTACTGTCTGGCACAGTTATATGACTTTGAATTAAGTTACTGTAACTAGTCTAGGTGATTGTTACTATTGATGTATTAATAAAAAGTCTTTTTTTAATGTTAATGCTTTTATTAGATTCGTGAGAGACAAAAAAAAAGGTTGTGTATTACTAGCTTACTTGTAAAGATTATTTCATTTGAAAGATAAAGGAAGAGGCAAGAATGTGGTCATAGTCTTAACGTTTTGGATGAAAATGCTAGTGGTATATATGATTGAAGCTGTTCAGTGTTTGCCTTGCCAGACTAGTCAGTAGGCTAAATGATCAGCACATTCATTAAAATATGCAAATTAGTGAAACAATGACAGTCCTTTTTCTGATGGACGTCAGGGTCATTTTTAAAATGATCACTCTACTTAACAGGAGACCAAACTACCTGTCTTACCCTCTCCACACTGGCTTAGTGGATGTTTACAAGCATGCCTTATCCTGTACATTTGATTTCTGAGGTTCTGTGTGCCTCAAAACCTCCACGGCAATCCTCTCTGCTCTCCCATGTTTTCTGTCCTTTGTTTGGGGGTCCACATACTGCAAATCATCAGTCGCAAAGTGTATGACATGATTCTTCTGTTTCCACAAACATTTATTTTTTTTTTCCTGAAATTTTCCATAACCACAGGGTTTAGAAAAGGAAAAGGACAAAAAAAAAAAGGCGCACTACTTCAAAAAAGGAGATTGGAGAAAAGTTGTCAGAAAATACAAGTCATAGTGTTTTGTTTGTTACATGTTTCTAGCCATTTCTTTAAGGGTTTCCAATATTCAAGTAATACAAAATATGTGTGAAATTTAGTAGAACAGAAGTCCTTTTCCAATGAAAAGTTATTCAGACCAAACCATAGGAATTTAAAAAGTATTATTTGCATCTCCCCTATTTGAATATACAGTATGTATACACTGAAATTTTCTGTCCTTGAGTTACTCCCCACTAGTTATCATGATTTGAATAAGAGAGGTTGCAAAGGAAAACACTATTTGGGAACCTTGCCTCCTTTGTTCTGTATGTAGTTGTGGACAGACAGGGACACAAAAACGTCAGAGGTCACATCCACCAATTTAGAAAGCTTCAGAAATCGCTTCTTTTCCTGGGGAAATGTTTCTGACATGCAGGACAGTGGGGAAATAGTGAGGATGCTAATCATCATGCAATTTGCAGAGGAATTTCATTAGCAGTTAGTAATATCTCACCCTTGTTCCCACTTGATAGGATAGCCAGCTTATGTTGAAAGAATTGTGTGTGCATGAACCACAAATGAGTCTCAGTCCCCAGGTTTTAACTGTGGTTAACTTTGCAGTGAAAAGCAGTCTTTGGACGTTGGCACAGCCTAGCTGAAGTCCCAACAGCACTCTTGTCAGCCTGATAAGGCAGGAAACTTATGATAGGAGGCAGCAACCATCACTCCCTTGGAAAAGTAAGTGGTTTGGGAAATGGGAAGAGGCAATATGTTGGAATCACAACTTTTTCACTGAGACTCTATAAATTCTGCAAACATTGAAGACTTCAAATCTGAGCAGGTCATCTGATATCACATTCAGAAGCCAAACCAGTATAATTAGTTTTAGACTTTAGAAAAAACAATATGGTGTAGGAAATTTAGCTCTAGAATGCATTGTTTGTAGAAGAAGTAAAAAAAATAATTTTCTGATGTTTAGCTAGTTCATCTAAAAACACTGGGAGTAATTCCAGTATGATTGCAGGCTTGGGAGTACAAGGTAACCATTCAGCCTTTGGTTCCTTCTAGTCTTATTTTTAAAAATTCTGCAGTTCTGCTCTTGTTAGTGAATGCCAGCCCCAGGTTTCATTCTGCTGGGCCCAAGAATACAGACTCTTCTCCAGTCCCTAATTCTAGCCACATACTTAAGATCTTGCAGATCACCAGGAAGAACATTCAGGAATCCAGTTTCCAAAACATTAGTAAATGAATTTATAAACCATAAAGTGTGTTGTATTTATCGCTGTAGCTTCAACCAGATAGTTGGCTGTGACTTGTTCTTTTAGGTCAAGCAGCAGAAGGCTGTGTGTCATCAAATGATGGATTGTGAATGAGACTAAAGCATCAGACTGAATCTTGGATCACTGGGTTCAGTTCCTGGCTCCAGAAGTACTGTAGATGATTGCGAAATTAATGCTGCTAGGGTAATCTTAATTCTGGCATCTTCTAACCCAGAATGATTGATTTTGCAGATTCCATTTTCTTTAAGTGTTGCTTTTATAATTTGAATAATATAAGGCTTCATTTTTTTTCTAAAAATAATTTAAAAAAATATTATTAAAGCACCATTAGGAATATATACAAATAAATGTTTTTCTTTTTAAAAACAATGCACAGAACATTAAGGAGTTGGATATTGGTAGCTTTATGTGGAGACATTATTATTATTATTATCATTATTATTATCATCATCATCAAAATAT